TCAGTTACCAATCCCCCATCCCACCCCGGAGTAATATGGGATTTGGAAATAATTCTCATGAAATGTTCAACTTGACTCATCCTCTGGTGCAGGAAAAAAAATCACAAAACATGAGGACCAGAGTAGTTCATCCATGATAGCCTCAACAAGGGAATTGTACCTTTACCAGAATATTTTGGGACATTCATCCATTTCAAGTTTTCTATTTTATGTCCAAGGTGTGACTGACCTCATTTCATCGTCTACTCGTCAAATTGCTGGGGGTGCCAACATGTCAACGGGGGGGGGGGGGTCACCTCATTGCGTTGTCTACAGCAAACTGTCGACGTGAAGTGAGCTTAGCAGATGCACTGAAGAAACCAATTATACCAATAATATTTGAGAGTATGGAGTGGCCTTCAGAGGAACCAATGAGTATGCCATTTGGTCAATAGGAATACATTTACTTTACAGACGATGTGAGTAAAACATTAGTAATAATAATTTTATTCAGCTGAGACAACAAATTAATAATACGGAGCGGCGGTACCTATGTTTGGTGGATGATGTCACAGACGACCCTAATGATGGGTTGCTAAATGTAAGTGAAACAACGGCTGCAAATGCACAGGACTCCGAAGCATCAGAGTGCACTGTACTTACTAAATTGCGCCCTCTATCGTCAATGTGAATTATGCGGATACCAACCCATCCGAAGGCAACATTTATTTCTGTGTTCCTGTTAACGTTGTATTACACCACAACCGAGCAGTAGATTCGTGATCAACTTTCGATTCGATACAGCTGATTGTGACAACTGTGTAGAAACTATCTCAATTAGCGCCGATGTTCGCCCGAATTGCAGAGGGACCGTCGAGACTTTCATCGTACGCTACAATGCAACAAGCCTGCCACACGACAAAAATCGCAGTGAATTACCTCTTTACAACCCCATCGTTTCAAACACTTCTTCGTGGAAGTTTGCAACAGGAAATTACACGACGATTGAACTGACATCGGAACTTTTATGGTCAACTTTTCCAGTGTGAACATACGAACATATTACATTGCAATAGAGATCATTCAACAGTATGCAATGAAGCAAGTGTGATATAACTGATGAGTCGATGCTTCATCTAGTGGTTAAGTAGCATGAGTATCGAAATTTAATTGGTTGGAGATAGATTTATGAAATATAGTATGATTTGTTACCAAGGATGCAGATTAAGAAATGCAAACTTAGTAAAAATAAGCATGACAATGATATTTAGCACATTACATATGTGTTATGTGTATTTGCATAACGACTCGATCCAACTTACGCAGTATGGAACAATGGCGGTAGTCGTGAAAAGGGATTATGGAGTACATTGCCAACTTTTGGAGTGACAATTATGGTTTGGTCATCCTCAATTACAGAATTTTGCCCTGCTATAATTAAGTTTGCCATGAAATAACAGCATTTTGTCGTCAAATTGTGGAATATTTCTATTGAATTGTGGAGTTTTTTGGTCTTATGTTGGAGTCTGTGAAATTACTAGTTTTTCGGTTCAATATATGATCTTTGCCGCAAAGTAATAGTTTTGCCAAAATGAATTAAATATCTGCTGTCATTTGTGAGCCAATGTAGTATACTTATCTATTGCTAAAACAATTACACGCAAAAAGTGAATGGTGAAAACTTGTGTGGGCAATTATTGTAGTGTAGAACAAAATCAATCATCTTTCTGATGCATATCACCAATATTTATTGAACAATATAATTATTTTCGACATGAATAATTAATTGTAAATCTGTTTTAGTTAACCTACACCATAGATGTTTTGTATTACCAGTATAACCTCCACCATAAAATGTACTTTCGATATTTCCTCATTCAATTGCTTCACAGAATACTCGCTACTTAAATTTGTCGGTTTCAAGCAAGACGTATATTACTTCTGCATGAATTGGATTTCTTCGGCCGTGACATTCTCATTGCAACTATGAAACATAAATAATAAATACAATAATTACCAAAAAATAGAAATGTACATGATAAAATATAATATAATATAATATAATATAATATAATATAATATAATATAATATAATATAATATAATATAATATAATATAATATAATATAATATAATATAATATAATATAATACAATGTAATATAATACAATGATCATTTTTCAAAGTAGCTGCATCCAGTATCTTATAAGTTTTTGCTTTTTATCTTAAATCATTCCAATCAACATTTCTGATTGTAATCTATTACTACAAAACACGTATGAATTGGGTTCCAATATAATGTGATCCAATGAAAATAATAGCACAATTTGAAAGGGAATATGTGTATGTGCATTTTGTGATGATAATAATGTGGAATATATGTGGTTATTGTATTCAATGATACATCTGTGTTCACTGGTAGCGAATTCTAGTTGATCGATCAAGTGATATATTCTGTGCATTACGTTTAAAATTCACACAACTATATATATTTATTTATGAAGATAAACACACCTTCAAATTATCTAGATACAAGCTGTATGAAATAGCTATGATAATCCGGTGAATAATCGAATGACATTGTGTCTTATCAAAC